CTTCCTTCCTTCCTTCCTTCCTTCCTTCCTTCCTTCCTTCCTCAAAGATGTTTACCTTCCAGTGACTAAAACAGAATATGCTAAATGCAAGATATGAAGGTGATGAAAATCAGCTCCTGCAACAGACAGATGTCTCTTACCACTTGGGGGGCCCTGCACAAAAAGCCTAATAAATGTCGGCTGATCTTTACCCTTCACAACGAGCTGCTGCCTTATTTCTCTTTACCTTCGATGATGGCGTGCCTGAGAGAGACCTCGTGTTTGGCATTCTGGGTCATTTCCACATCCATCCAGGACTCAGAATATTGCACATCTTCGGCCATATTCTGCCACTGGTCCTTCCTTAATTTCCCTTCTCCACTCCACTCCCACAGCCCCTGGATTTTGAATCCCGGCGCTCTTACACCTTCCGAGTGGAAGCCACCAACACCATCATTGATCCCCAGTACATCCGCAAGGGACCTTTCAAAGACGTGGCCACGGTCCGGGTCACGGTGGAGGATGCCGACGAGCCCCCGGCTTTCTCTCGTTCGGAATATCACCTCGCCGTCTACGAGAACAGCCCTCTGGGGACCCTTGCGGGAAAGGTGACTGCGGTGGACCTCGATTCTCCCAGCAGTGTCATCCGGTAAAGGCCGCAGGAGCGGGGTGGCGGGAGAGCTGTGCTTGTGGTTGGATATTTTTGGTATGTTTTTTTTATTTTGGGGTGTGCGTCGTGTGTGAAGTTACAGTCACTCCATTTATACCTGGTTGCCATGACAACCTGATACCCCAGGTTCCCCCCCATCTTCTAGATACTCCATCCTGCCGCCCACGGACCCCGAGCGCTATTTCAGCATCAACCCTCAGGACGGGACGATCCTTACCTCAGTGCCTCTCGACCGGGAAGTGTTACCTTGGCACAACGTGACTGTGGTGGCAACTGAACTTGGTAAGGGACAGGTGGGTTTGGCTCCGTGGAGTGTCTGGGCAGAGGGGTGAGCCGCAAGCTTTTGCTCGCGGGCGGCTGTAAGAGGTGCGGTTATTTCTTTCATTTCTGCTCAGATTCGTGGGGGAACGAGGCGCTATGAATTATTCTCCCCGTCCTTTGAGAGGGCACAGAACGTGATAGCCCTCTTGACAAGGGAAGAGCAAGGGCTGTAAATTGGTGCAAGTAAAGCTTTAGGTTTTGGCAAAATGAGGCTTAGAATTAGAAACACTGCAGGGTGGCTTGTGTTTTTCACACACCCCCATCGTTTTCAACAATAACCCGGTTGTTCTGAGCTTGCTGGACCGTGCGCTTTTCCCTTCTCGAAGGGAAAAGACACGAGATGTACACAGAGACAGTCTGTGAAAATTAGAGAGGCTTGAGAAGATTAAAATGAGTGTCCCCGGTCTGGCTCACCAAGAGGGCCTTCCTGCATTGAGAGAACCTAAATCAGTTCAGGCCTCTGGCATGCAGAGTCAGGGGTAGCTAGTTTGATTCCCCAGTGGGTCTCTCTGACATCGCCCGGACTCAGTGATGCATAAGGTCCCTTCCGGCTCTGCAGTTTGATGAGGATGAGGATGATGTTTTTCAAACTAAAGGGCATGACCCCCTGTGGGGGCAGGAAGAAGTTCCCGAGGGGCTGTGAAACTGTGAAATGTTCTTCATTTTATTTTATCTGCTTGAGGATGTGATTTTTAATGTTCACATACCAAAAGGCTGTAGAAATTAATTTAAAATATTTTTTCCACTGTGTTTGTGTGTGTGTGTGCGTTTAATTTTTAATTAAAGACAGCATTTTTCATTGCGAAGGGGTAAAGCTGATGGTAAAGCAGATGGTGAGGCAGAAATAGGGAAGTGTGAGGGTTTCTTCAAAAATTAAAAAGCGGGTGCGTGATGCCCAGAAGCTTGGAAACTACAAGAATGAAGTATTTAGCCGGTCTTCTTTACACCTCTAATATACTTGTTAATAAATGCTTTTATTTATCAACCATCTGTACAAAGGAAAATTCTCTCTCTCTCTCTCTCTCTCTCTCTCTCTCTCTCTCTCTGAACTCATCAATACATGTCCTCTCAACATTTTGGCTATTTCCTTTTCACCCACCCCTTTCCGCTCCACCTTTTCCTTCTTTGTCCTGCCTCCCTGCTGGTCTGGTGTCATTTCACCCATGCCTCTTTCTCATGATCATGCATTCACGCTGGGAGGATGTGCCTTTATTTTATTTCAATTTTTTCCCCTCATTCATTTTGTCGGGCTTGTCGCATATATACGATCCGCGTGTTTCCCCTCTGGTTTTTCCCCCTGTATGCCTGGCGCTGCTGGGGTGTATGTGATTGCTCTGTGGATAAAAATGGTTTGCTGCTTGTTCTGGTCCCTTGCGGGTACGCAATGCGCATGTGCGCATCCTGTATGGCTGCTGACTTTTCTGCATTTTTTGTTCCCTTCCTCCCTCTCTCTCGGTCCCACCTTTTGACCATGCCTGGGTGGGTGGCTCACCTGTTGATCTGGCCGTTGCCCATTTATCTCCTACGTCTCTGGTATACCTTCCGTCCTTTGTGGGTACCTCTGAATGGTGTGTGTTGGCCATGGGGGAATGCCTGGCCTGGCCTGGCCTCCGTTGGTGACCCTATGCGAATGGATTTCTCTGTCCCTCTCAAACCTGGCCTACTTCTACGTTGCTTCTGTTGACTGTGTGTACTTACTCATGCACCGTTCGCCCGTGGCTTCATGGCACACCACGCACGGCTTTCCATCCACGGCCTGCCTCATTACGTTGGCTACGTCATGCCGCTCCCCACCCCTTCTCTTGCTCTCAGACAGCCCTACACAAGTCTCCCACGTCCAAGTGGCTATCCAGATCCTGGATGTCAACGACAATCCCCCCCAACTGGAGCATAACTACGAGCCTTTTGTCTGTGATAATACAGCCTCTGGACAAGTAAGACGGCCCAACGATATGGGGGAGTGCGCTGGGTTTAGGGAGCTGGAGCCAGAAGATGGTCAGTGGTTTAGGTTTCTAGCTGTGGAGCCAGAAGTTGGGAGTTCGATTCCCCCATGGTGCCTCCTTGGCAGGGGTTGGAATGGATGATCCCACGGGGTCCCTTCCAACTCTGCAGTTCGATGATGATTTTCTCAAACTGGGGGGCATGCCCACCTGATTATGACGATGAGGAGTTCATTTTTCTGGGCTGTCCCTTCCAGAATGCCTCAGCCAGAAGAGCCAGCGGCTAGGGGATTTTGGGAGTTGGAGTCCAACAGACTGCAACTAAGCTCTTAGATGCCATGAAACGGAGAGGCAGGGCTGAAGCGAGGCTTCTTAACCCTTCCTTTTCCCCTCCTTTCTGGCCCAGCTGGTGCAGGTGATCCGGGCAGTGGATCGAGATGAGGACGGGAACTCGAGCCGCATCATCATCCGCTCCCCAGTCGGACTGAGGGAACCCAATGTCACCGTGCGGGACAACAAGGGTGAGCCCTTGTGTGTGTGTCTTTCTTTCTGCCTCTGGGAATATATTTATATTTATCTCTCTCTCTCTCTCTTTTAAGAACAAAATCAAAGAATATGCAGCATTTCTTTTTTCATAAATCCTAGAATCGGAATAAAGAATTGTACAAGACACCCGGGCTCTATCTCTTCTTTCCCTATATGCCGTCTGCCTTCTCACCTTTAATCATTTCCTTAGTGATAAGAGAATGGGTACTAGTCCCCCTCTATTCAGCCCTGGTTAGGCCTCAGCTGGAGTCCTCTGTCCAGTTCTGGACACTGCACATCAAGAAAGATGCTGACAAATTGGACAAGTTCAGAGGACAGCGAATCAGGGGGCTGGAAACCAAGCCTTAGGAGGAAAGGCGGAAAGAATTTAGCCTCAAGAAAAGATGATTTAAGGGAGAAAGGAGAGCCCTTTTCAAATGCAGTACTTGAAAAGCAGTCCTACAGAGGAAGGGCAGGATCTGTTCTAAATCATCCCAGAGTGCCGGACACGTCATAATGGGGGTGAAGCGACAGGAAGCCAGATTTAGGCTGAATATCAGGAAAAACTTCTTAACTGTTAGAGCAGTACGACAATGGAACTCGTGGCCTCGTCTTGAGCACTCCAACGACGGAGGCATTCAAGAGACAGTTGGATAGCCCTCTGTCAGACCTGTTTTGATTTGGATTCCTGCCTTGAGCAGGTGGTTGAACTCGACAGCCTTATAGGCCCCTTTCTGACTCCCTGGTTCTGTGATTCTATGTATGAGTGTTAAATAGCATTTAACTTTTTTTATACTGTCAGTGTGAACACAACAAAGCTAAACTCCATGGTACACCTGCTGAGTGTGATATATTTTGGGTGGCTATTTTTTTTAAATTTCCTTTTATTTTTTAAATTTAACCTGCAAGGTTACTTATTGGAATTCTTTTTTTTTTTTTTTTTTTTTACATTTCCTTTTTGTAAAAAAATTTAACCTGCAAGGTTACTAATTGGAATGATACCTTTCTCGCACCAATTTCTCTCTCCCCAGATAACTCTGCCGCTTTGCTCCTCCGAGCCGCCCGCCAGCCGGTCCCGGGAACGTCCTTGTTGGTGCCACTAGAACTTGTGGATGGGGGTTCCCCCACCCGCACGGGCTCCCCAACGCTTACAGTGAGCGTCTGCCGGTGTCGGCGAGACGGGGCCATGCGCTCCTGCAGTCCCGAAGCGTTGGGATCTCCTGCCGGCCTCAGCACGGGTGCCCTTCTCGCTATCCTGGCCTGTGTCGGCACACTGCTCGGTGAGAAAGGATCCGGAGGGTGGTACGTTGGGGGCAGCTGTGGGACCTGAGAGTTCAGACTGGGGCTAGATTTGCAGAACGGAAGGAAAAAACGTCGGTTCCAGTGGCACTTAGAAGCGGGTGACTCCCAATTTCTTTGTTGATTTTATGCTGAACTTTACTGAAACTGTCCTGAAAAGAAGCTGAGCACCTTGGACACAACGGCTTTAAAGTTCAGACTAAAACTCAGAGCGGATTCACTGCTAAGTGAAATTGGAGTCCACTGCTTTTGCTGTCCACTGGAGAAAGTTTAGGGCAGGACTGGTCTTCCTTAGACGGCTCTCCTCTAGAGACTGGCATGAACTCCCGGGTCGGCGGTTCATGCCGATTTGTTTTCCAGACCACCAGGTTTTGGCACTTCCCAGCTCTGCCTCCTCTTAGAGGCCTTCTCTCCAGTGAAATTCAATGGCAGTGAAATTCACCAAGTCAGCAGTATTGAGCGGAGGCCAGAAGTACCAGTAAGGGGCCCGCAAGTGGCCCCCAGGTAGATCTGGCTCATCACATTCAAGGCCAGGTAGCCTACGACGAGAACAGGAGAGAGGCTTTTGTTTGGACTACAATGCTCAGAATTCTTCCCAAGGGGACGTTCTTTCTTGAACTCCTAACATCCAAGTCCTGAGCCAGTGAGGCTGTGTTGCCAGGGGACTTAGTCAAAGGGGGTAGGGTAAGAGAGGAACTTCCCCAATCTCTGGAGCCCAGAAAGGAAAATCCTCTAGACGGGGTGAGGAAAGAGACCTCATTATGCATGAAGTACGGTATGTTTGGCGTTAAGATTAGGTACTGAAAACAGATGGAGGACTTCCAGCTGTGTAGAGCCAGGGATGTTGGGTCCGAATCCCAAGATCCCAAGTCCCGAGTTCGAGTCATGGGCACCAAGTCCTGAGTCCAAAGCCCTCATTCTGGGTCCCTATTAAAAACAAGGGTTTTTTTACCCATTAAAAAAAGGGAGGAGTGGGTTAGGGTTCCGAATCATGAGTCACGTCCAAGTCACTGGAAAAAAACAACAACCCCTTTGAGTCGAGTCCCTTAAGTCCGACTTGATAGCCAAGTCCTGCATCTCGAGTCCCCCCCTCCCTGATGTGGAGTGAAGGGCTCGTGGCCTGTGGGGAAGGAAGGAGCTGGATTTCCCAAGGAACCGCTCAATGGATTGCAAAGAAGCCAGGTGGGATGTGCCACAGGTGTTAGGTCTTGCTAATAATTCTCCTCTCCTCCTTCTGCCCGTCCTGTCCGCCCCCCTTGCATTCAGCCCTCGTGTTGCTCTTTGTCGCCCTGCGGAGGCAGAAGCAGGCAGCGCTGCTCCCCTTCGAAGAGGAAGACGTGCGGGAGAACATCATCACCTACGACGACGAGGGTGGCGGCGAGGAGGACACGGAGGCCTTCGACATGGCGGCCCTGCAGACCCCCGACGCGGCCCCTCCGCCGCCCCCGCCCCCCCAGCACCGGCGCCTCCTCCGGCGGGACGTCCTGCCTCGTCTCCATTTCCTCCCATCCTTGCCCGCCCGGGTCCCGCCACAGCCTCACGACGTGGCCAGCTTCTTGGCGGCTCGCTTGAGCGAGGTGGACGCCGACCCCTCGGTGCCCCCTTACGACTCCATCCAGGTGTACGGCTACGAGGGTCAGGGCTCCTCTGCTGGCTCTCTCAGCTCCCCCGGCTCGTCCTGCGCTGGCGACAGCGAGGCAGGCGGATACGAGTACCTGGAAGAATGGGGGCCTCTCTTCCGGACCCTGGCAGAGCTCTACGGGACTCCGGAAGGGCCACCGTCCACCTGAGGGAGAGATCCCCCTGGGAGGGTGTGTGTGTGTCCCGTCCAGTGGAAGAATGCAGCCTTCTCATCCCTCCGGGTCCCTTTGGCGCAGCTTCTTCTTTTCTCTCCCCCTTTCAGTTCTTCCTTGTCCTCGGTTTGTCCTTTTAGAGAAATCTTTCTCTCTCCTTTTCGTCCCTCCTTTCTCGTCCAATGTCTTCCTGTGTACGTGCCCGTTGTTCTTTTGCTGTCTCTTTCAGACTAACTAATGTCGGCCCTCTTTCCTTGACATGATTTCGATTATGATTTTATTCAAGTTCTGTTTCTCTCGTTACATCCATCTCGATTTTTAAATCCCCTTTCTTCCCTCCCTTTTTCCCTGTGTTCTTTTTTTTTCCTTTAATACTAAATCCTCATTAGTTTATCTGCTTTTAAATGTGTTTTTCTCGCCTCCTCTGTGATTCCCATCATTCCGTTGCCTAGGTTGGTTTCTCTTTTTAGTTGACCGCATTGGTGCTGTGCTGCTTATTACGTTTGGTCTCCTTCCTCTCCTCCTCCTGTATAAAAAAAAAATACTCTATGCATTCATTCTTTCCCAGAATCCTTTGGTACCAAACCCCCCTCCCACCTATCAGGACCCTCTTAAGAATCAAGTCTTGCCAGCATGGATTTACCTCTCATTCAACTTGCAGCCCCCTCAAATCCTGACAGCGGAACCGATCAGCCGGCCCATATGGGCTCCCGGGATACTGGCAGAAGTACCAGCCGGGCGGAGGTTTTTAAACGGACTCTGCCCTGCGGACAAAGTCCGTCGCTCTTCAGATACCGCAAGAGGACTTTACATAACCAGGACTCTTTTATTCTACGGAGCTAAGGCATAATCGGTGTCAGGTGGGGACATCCATGTTATAATTTCGTAATAAACAATTTATTTTCTAAAAAAAAAAGAAAAGCAAAGCAAAGGAAAGTTACTGTGAACTGTGCCTCTTAAGAACAAGTGAGCCAGAATTTGTAGGGTTGACCTAAGAGTCATGTTCTGGTCCTGCCTGGAGAGTAAATGGAGTTCAAGGCTGTATAACGGATTGGGATCTAAGTAAAGTTTTTGTAATCCAGGCTTTTTGGTCCAGAGAAAAGGGGTTCATGGCTATCAGTCAGAACAGCTAGAATTCCTGGGTCCCTCACACTGAAGGTGTGATCAGAGGTCTCCCAATCTCGTGAGCTACTAGTCCCCTACCATTCAGCACTGGTTAGGTTTCGTCTAGAGCATTGTGTCCGGTTCTGGACACTGCATATTAAGAAGGATACCAAAAAATACTGGAAAGAGTTCAGAGGAAGGCAACAAGGTGCAATACGACAATCGAACCCATGAACTCAGGGGGAGGTTACGATTGCTCCAACAACGCTGGAGGCATTCAAGGTAAAATTGGACAACCCCTCTGTCTGATCTGCTTTGGTTTGGATTCCTGTATTGAGCAGGGAGTTGGATTCAATGGCCTTAGAGGTCACTTCCAACCCCATTCTGCCATGATTCTGTGAGAAAGGATGGTGTCTGATTGTACCAGAAAAGATCACTTTCCTGAGAGTGATCTCCCAAAAGTGATCTCCCAAAAGTAGCCTGGCTGTTATGCCAAAAAAAGTCCCAGCATGTCCACCGATTAAGGTCAGGCTGGTTCGCCGTCTCGTGTTATGTCATGGGATTGTTGTACCCCAAGCGGTCCAAAAGACAAGCTGTTTTCCCATCTGATCGCACCTCTAAGTATCTTCCCTTCTGCCTTGAACATCCCCTTTAAGCTCTCTTGAAAGTTTACGCCCATAACCGCGGCGTTTTGCAACCAACTTCAAATAGTTTCCCCGTTCAGAGGAAATGCGGAAGCCGGCATGTCTCTTCCTCACCGTTTCCCCCTCACTAGATATTCATTAGCGGATATCTTTCTGAAGCAAACGGCATAAGGAATGTATCCCTGTAGGGCCAAAGGGACACAACCGAACCGAGGAAAACACACAAAGAAAATTTTTAAAAGACTGTTGATGCCACTCAATATCAAAGAATTAAACTCTACTACAGTGCTAATGTAGTGTAGTACCGTTAAGAAACATGTTTCGGTGCCAGAAGAAAAGGAAACGGCGCAGATGTTGGGAGGTGGTAGGGAGATAAAAAGGGGGCCTTTGAATGTTTATGTAGTAGACATGGAAGCAGTTCAAGTTGTCTGCATTTGTTGATATGCAAAACTCCGGAATCTCAAACCAAGGGTTCGTTCGTTTAGCCTTTAAATCGTGTCCGACTCTTCGTGACCCCCATGGACCAGAGCATGCCAGGCCCTCCTGTCTTCCACTGCTTCCCGGAGTTGGGTCAAATTCCTGTTGGTCGCTTCAGTGACCCTGTCCAACCATCTCATCCTCTGTCGTCCCCTTTTCCTCTTGCCTTCACCCTTTCCCAACATCAGGGTCTTTTCCAAGGAGTCTTCTCTTCTCATGAGAAGGCCAAAGGATTGGAGCCTCAGCTTCAGGATCTGTCCTTCCAGTGAGCACTCGGGGTTGATTTCCTTCAAAATGGATAGATTTGTTCTCCTTGCAGTCCAGGGGACTCTCAAGAGTCTCCTCCAGCACCACAATTCAAAAGCATCAATTCTTCAGCGGTCTGCTTTCTTTATGGTCCAGCTCTCACTTCCATACATCACTACAGGGAAAACCATAGCTTTGACTATGCATACTTTTGTTGGTAAGGTGATGTGCTTCTACTTATACCCTCAGACATTTTGAGACATTTTGCCGAAACAAATTCGTTAACAGTCCCAGCTCGGTGCCAAGGAAGTATGCTGAGTTGTAAGCCTCTCCCCACCCCCATATTACACATCACGCCGTTACTCATTCAAGGGAAAATAAATGGGAGAAGAAGTTCAGGAAAGGGGTTAAAGATTTTTCTTCTTCTTTGCTTGAAGAACGTTGGGAGATTGATTTGAACACAATGCAACATCAATATTTGAGCGGCCGCATCCGAAGTTGTGATGATGCCCAACCTCTGGCATGAGTGGAACAAGGAAAAGGGGGTGGGAAGGGATCCGTTTATTGCCGGTCTCCGTTTTGAAGAAGAGCAAAGACAGGAGGAAATCCACTAGAACAAGATTTTAACACAGAAGGTAAGACGTAGTTGTACAAGAGGTAGCCAAATGAGCCTGTGTTAATCTACAGGTAAAAACAAAATAATCAGCATCATCATAGGTGTTTGATTAAAACTTGTATCTGCTCTGTAACACCAGTCTGACTGTGCCTGGTATTTTATAATACTACCATGTTTTCCCGAAAATATGACAGGGTCTTATATTAATTTTTGCTCCAAAAAAACACATTAGAGCTTATTTTCAGGGGATGTTTTATTTTGTTCATGTACAACCATCTACATTTATTCAAAGACACTTCTATCATCATCTTCTGGTTGCTGCACAAGGGCGGAGGGGGGGGGTTTCACGTAACTGGGGCTTATTTTGGGGTAGGGCTTCTATGATGAGCATCCTGAAAAATCATACTGGGGCTTCTTTCCAGGTGAGGTCTTATTTTCAGGGAAACAGGGTACTACTACGTACTAACAACAACAACAAAGTTGTGGCGGCACCTTAAAGTGTATCTGTTATATTTTAATGAGAGTTTTCGTGGACAGATTATGCCTGAGCACAGGTTAAACTGTAACTGTCTTTAAGGTCCCACCCCATTTTTTACTTTTTTTATTTTTGTTTTGTTTTTACCTGTAGAAGTAAGAAGGCTCCCATTCTTTATATTAGATGCTAGAACTTGCCTCAAGTCCATAGAACAGTGGCAACATAGGCAGAGCTTACTTTTA